TCAGGGGCAGGGACAGCAGGAGCTGCAAGGCCCTGATGCACAGAGCTCTGTGCTTGCTGCTCAGCCTCCCACCAGTGTCTGTTTGCTCCTTGGAAAAGGCAAACAACAAGGGAAAAAGATCGGCTGCCTCAGATGCTATCAGCTGCCCTGGTTCAATAACTAGGTCAGTAAAGGTTAAACCAGCTGAGGCATAGGCAGCAAGTTTAAATTTAACAAACAAACAAACAAAAAAAAAAAAAAAAAAAAGACAGAGAGAAGAGAGAAACAAAGCCAAAGTCAGGGGGGCAGTCCATGTCACAGCCATTCACACTGAAGCCATCTCATGTTTTGGGGGCTAAATACACCTTAAACAAAAATCAGTAACATGAAACCAGCAATGAAATCAGCCTGTTTGCTTTGAGGTACCCTGCTGTGATATATTAATAACTTTTCTGCTTTCTGTAGCAAATTCTGTAAGAAATCACAGTCTAATGCCAAATTATATCATTTACCAAGCCTAATGCAACTTTAAGGATATTACGCAGTATTTTGTCTAAGTATTTTAAATCAATCATGGTTTAACATGCATACACACATTTTTTAATTTTCCTAGTGGTGTGTAATTGCATTTGAAGCTTAGGACTTTGTTGCTTTGCTGGGAAAGACACATCTAGCTTTCCACACTCATGTAGGCAATACATACTTTGGAGATAGTGTAATGTGAAATTCCTCCACTGAGAAAATCAGATGACATCTAAGGAAACTGCCTGTGGATCTCAGAGCTAGGTTTAAGCAGTGGAAAGATAATTTCTGTGCAAACACTGCCACCCATCGAAAAATAAGAGGCACAGTCGTATATCCCTGTTTTTATCTCTTCTTCCCCTTTGTTATCCTGCAGTGTTCTCATGGATATTTTCTCCTCACTGCTGTCTTTAATAACTGTAATGTTATCAGGTAAAAAGTGTAAATAAACTAAACCTAAGTGGTAGGTCAAATATAGCTATAAACCAGAAGATAAGTTCTCTCCAGAGCAAAATCAGTAATGTATGGAAGTCTCCCTGTGAATGGTGACAGGAAAACCCCCAGCACATAACCATGGCATGTGTAAACATATATAGCATCAAAGTCCATGCAGAGCCCTGATCCAACAGAATTCCACCAGCTGGGCTCTTCCCTCCACCCTGGGAGAGTTGTACTTTTCCTTTGTTAGAGAGAGACTCTCCCTCTGACCTCTTGCTATCTTCTCTGAGGTTCTTATACCTTTTTTATCTCCTGCCTCACTAATGTTAAGATCAAACCACATGTATGCTTTTTGTTTGACATGGTTTCTTCATCTTGTAGTGGAGTGGTGGTTTGCCCTTGATGCAACCCATAACTGTTTCCTTGCCCTAGTTGTGAGAGGTTCCCTTATCTTCAAGTGTCTTTGGTTTTGCAACTTCTTCCCTGAATCACACCTTTACCTTTACCATTTCTTCTCACAGATTATTAATGTCTGTATCATGAAATGGCCATTAGCAGTGAAACACTCGAACCATGCATTTTTACAGTAAATTCCCCTGCACAAAGATTAAGATTTTCTTAAAAATAACATTACATCTCTTGCATTTTCCAAGAGTTACCCCTGCACCTACAGTAGAGGGAGCTGAATTTAGTTTAGGAAAACAGCTCCTTTCTCCTTCCCTGACTCACCCTTTGCTGTGCAGTCCTGCTCCCACTGTCAGCTTTTGGCCAAAGCTATTCTTGTTAGTAAAGCCAACACAAGGTACATGAGGGATCTAAGGGATGTCCTTGGGTCAACAAAAAGACCCAAAGAGACCTTTTTATGAACTTTGCAAATATGAACTAAAAGGCAAACTGTAATGCAATGCTTTAAAACAATGCTCCTTCTCTATTCCAATTACCAAGGTTATTAGCAAAAACCCGATCTTGCTTATGACTAAAGTAGTGAATCAATATTTTTTTAACACTTATAAATTTGTTTTCTGGAAAGTTGAATTAATTATGCTTTTCTACTGAGAAACATCATATAAATTATGATTTTGTTTGCTATATGTACCCAGGGGTTTTATTAAGTGACTGCATCTCCTGTGCAGCTGAAGATGAAAAAACTTACCAGGAGGGGACAGATGGAAAGGTCATTAACAGAACTCAAGAAATCCATCTGCAAATCTCACTCTGTAAAGGTTTTATGTAACAGTTTGATCTCACTGAGGTGCTATTGAATAACAGGTAGCATGCTGGAAATCTAATTCTTTACAAAGCCTGGATTTATGGACAGGGTGTTAAATCATTGTATTGCTTATTGTCTGAAGGACAAAGAGTGGAGAGTTCTAGACTGGCGATTTATTAAATATGGAAGTTCTTTCAAAATGAAAAAAAGACAGCTCAAAGAATTATTTATTCTTAATTTAACACAGTTTCAGAAATGAGCAAGTCTCCAGTTTCAGTTAGGACTTCCCATGCAATATTTTTACCTTCATGAGAGAGTGTGAACTGTTTCACATGACAAAAGTTTATGAGCTGTGTAACCAGTGTCAGAGTTATCCAGCTGCCCAGCTGATGGAAAGTTCCTCCAAGTCCAATGCTCTCTCTGTTGTTTTATGATCTGAGGTAGTAGAACTTCTTTCCAGTTCTTTCCACAATTCTGGCAAATCTAAGATGCTTAACTGCCACTTCTTACTCCTTAGCTGGATTCACTTATTTTCTCAGGTTATCTAAATTTTCACCTTACTTACTAATTTTGTTAAATAGATGGTAAAGGAATAAACTTCAGCAATCTGATCACTAAACTTGAGCAGCACAAAATCAAAAAATCTAAATGGGCAACAGCAAAACTTACACAACTTCACTGTTGGATTTCACTGTATTTGATAAACCTGTGTATAAACACAGCTATCTTGGCTTTGATTAAGCTTTGTACAGTTGTTACTGCTTGCAACTGAAATTCTCCTTAGGATACAAGAATTGCAACATTGTTTTCCTACACATCTTGATGTGAAGTTGATCATTCTTAATGATTTGCATTCTCCCTTTCTTCCCTAACTGCCCTACAATTTTTCGATGTAATTTTGTATGCAAGGCTATTGGAACAATGGTGATTACAGGACTTAGGCTGAATACATAAGAAAAAAATTTGAATTAAAAAATTTAATTAGTTGGAAGAAGGAAAACAAAGTCTCCTGGTTATGTCCTATTAGGCCAACCTCCTTATACCTCACTTATATCTGTATACACTCCCCAGTTTATTGTCAGGAGATGAATTTATGATTCAAAATCCTTTTCAGCAAAGGCAAAGGTATCCCTGTTTTGACTACTTGCAAAATATTATTCCATCCATTCCTCAAACAGACAGAGACCTCACTCTAATGCAAACTGCAAATTTAAATTCTATGCAGCACCTGCCATGGAAGTAAATAGGTATTTTCAAATACCTTCCAAACAATGTTTATGGAATATTTGAGTAACTGCTGAAGTGCAGGGATTAAATATGCTTGAGACTGGAACTTCAGAGCTACAGGCAGAAATGAAGTTTTGTTCCACCCCTTGCAGGAAAAATAATAATAATGATGGACTTAACTACATGAATCCCTAGAGGACAAGTCTGGTTTCTAACACATGTAGCTTCTACTCCTAATTCAAGTAATCAGAAACTTTTAGCATATTTTAGGAAGATTGGATTTCTGGTATCTCATTAATAGATGGTCAGTAAAGCACAACATATTTTTAAATAATAATATTAAGCTAATTCCCTAAGAGTAGTGCTGATAAATCAAAAATGCACCTCCAGCAATTCCATATACAAGGAACTTTAGCAGCAGAAGCTAATTTAACAAGGAATAATATAGAATTTAAAGACTTTCAGAACAGTCTGGACTGTTGTCCCAAATTTGCACAATTATTCCAACATAAAAGAGAATCCAGGTACACAGCAGCAATAGCATTTCTCTTTTCTTTTGCTTTCTGACTGGCCAGAAGCAACCAATAAATTGAGAACACTGAACAGAAGGACTCTTCAGCAGAACTAGAATGCAGCTGAAAATACTGGCAAAGACTTCTCCCCACAGCTGCATTCCAAGAACCATTCTGTGCATGTGCTTGTGTCCCGGGGTAAGAAACTGCAACTTATCCATTGCTTGGACATTTAAATAAACCATTTAAATAATTCAAATAAAGCTATAAATGCTAAGAAATTGACCTGCCATTTCATGTGTCTGCTTTTGAAGTGAAACTGTTCTGTTTACGCAGAACACTTGTTCTGTTTACTCTGTGCCCTCAAAACAACAGACAGACTCACAATCTGTGAAAAACACGGACTAAATGAGAAGCAAGGAGGACTGGAGAAACTGAGAAGTAACTGCCTCTGGTCACACTCATACACAAAGCAGTTACTAAAGGATTATTGAACAGAAGCAGGCACAGACAATTTCCTGTCACCTCTACAGTTCTGTTGGTGAACGTGCAAGCCTTAAGTTTCAAAACAACCCAAATAAGAAAATGAGGTCATGCTCAGGAGGAGTCGTATTTGACAACATATCCATCTCTAGATGTGGTGGGTTGACCTTGGCTGGGTGCCAGGTGCCCACCAAGCCACCCTATGCCTCCCCTTCCCAGAGGGACAGAGGAGATAGAGTAAAACACATGTAGGTTAAGATAAGGCAGTTTACTCAAGCAAAAGCAAAAGTTTGTGTGTGCACAAAGGGTAAAAAAAACAATAATTTTATTCTGTACTTCCCATCTTCAGGCAATGCCCAGTGCCTTCCTGGGAAGCAGGGCTTCTGCATGGAAGTGATTGCTCAGGAAGGCAAACACTCTAAAAACTGAATGCAACGCCTTCCTCTTCCTTTTCTTATCTGTTCTCTCTGAGCCGATGTCATATGTATGGAGTGTCCCTTTGGTGAATTTGTGTCAGCTGGCATGGCTGTGTCCCCTCCCAGGAGCCTGCCCACCCCCAGCCTACGCAAGGTGGGAATGCTGGAGAGACAGTACTGCTGCAGCCAAAACCCTGCTGGGTTATCTGCACCCTTCCAGTTCCCAGAGCAAAGCACAGCTCTGGGACAGCTGCTGGGGAAATGAACTCCAGCTCAGACACACCCAGCACAGAGAGTAATAACATTTTACACCAGTTTCAGATATTTCTGTTCAAATGCATTACTTTGCTCTGAATGTATGTATTTGATAGGAAGATGGAAACAACAGAATGTGAACACCACAGCAGAACTACCAAAGGAGAATACCCAGGAAAAAATCAGTGTCTCCTTATTAGGCTTAGGTTATTTTTAATATTTAATATAGAAGTAGCCCTCTTTTTAAGAATCAAAGTATAATTATAGTAGTTATAAGTAACAACTATAATTAGTTACTTTAAAATTACAGAGTTCTTGGAAAAAAAATGTTGCTATATACGTCTCTAAATCATATTATTGATCTGTTCAGATCTGTACAGATAAAGAGTCCTTATTTGAATACTAGAAATTATTTCATCAGATTGTTGCCATTTGGTTCAATAAACTGTATTATTAAGATAGTAACAAATGTCAATAGTTAGCATTAGTTGACATTAGTAGTAGTTATGCTAAGGCTTGGTAGGCCACATGTAACCTGCAGATGAACTATATAGCAGATATTGCAATGTAAGCAGTGTAACTAGGAGATAATCTAGGAATGTACCATTTGGCAAAATTTAAATGTCAGAGAGATAATCGTACCAGGTAGTGAAAGAGAATTAAGAAATTATGATGATGAAGAAGTCGTGTAGAAAACATATAAAAACCCTGTGATTTTTGTGTGAAACGGGGCTCTGTCTTTGGACGCTAGTCCACAGGCTCCCGGGCCCTCAATAAAGCACCGCATAAACGACTTCGGTTGTTTGTGCTTTCTTCGGATCGGGCAACAAGATTAAAAAATAATAAAAAGACCATAAAGCTTTTAGCTTACAGAAATGTAACTATAACATGTGCATTTCTCATATTCTTACTGGAGCACTGCAATTCATCATAAACTTGGGAGATCCATGTTCTTCTTCATTCCATACAGAACATCTAGATTTCATTTTCAAACTCCTGCTTGCTGATGTTTAATTACCGCTATGTTCAAAAAACATGAAGTCCTAAGGGGATAAAAAAACAAACAAACAAACAAAACAAATAATTCTTAAATGTAGTTCTTATTTCCGAGATCCCCTGGCTGCGTTGCAAGATATACACCTTCCTCTAAAAAACTGAAAGGGTGAGAAGAAGGTGGGGGCACATTTGTCATGTGCTCACCACCTGGGTCTCTCAGTATGGGACCTCCACAGAGACTGAAAGATGGTGAAAGACCAGCATGGGAACTTTTAATTTATCAGTAGCCAAAGCTATGCTTCCTTTACTCGGGATTTCTGCCCTGACTTTGTTCAACCTGACTCATTCCCTCTCATTTTACCTCAGGATGGAGTCCCTCACAATGATGGCTATCTTTAGTTTACTGGTGGGGGCCCCATTGCTGTGCCTGAAAGCCCAGGTTGCTGACACTCACTAACGCTGCACTTGATGCACTCGCTAGCACAGGAACACACAGCTAAACAAAACCTTGCTCATGCCCAAGGCTGTCAGAGGTTGGTGAGACCTTTCCAAACTCAAGGTGCTTCACATGGCCCTTTCCTGCCCATCAGCAGCACAGAAGCAGTGCAGGTCCTGAAATGGTCCTTTGATGCAGAATTGTTCTGTTAGATGGAAACAGGAGTGTGTTCCACACTGTTTTCAAAGAGGAAAGTGAGCTGCAGTGCACTACTGACAGCCAAAGTGCTCTAACAAGTTCAATGATCTTAGCCTCTGCAGTAATCCCTCCATTTGGAAATTACTGCTCTGAGAGCATTAATCCTGCTCCATTCAGTGCTTCAGGTGCTCCCAAAGAGAGATGGGAGGCAGTGGCTGCAGCATTCAGCTGTCCACCAGCCCAGTGGGCTGCTTAGGCTTCAGATGGGTCTCTTGGCTATTGCTAATTACTATTTTACTGGTTTCACAATCCATAAACTTGCTTTCCTCTGGTAACGAGTCTGTAAGAAGTCTTCCCTTTTCCTATTTTCAGTCCTACCAAATCTGAAACTCTTCTTAAATACAAGAATACTTAAATACTAGTACTTCATGTAGTCTAGAATAAGCTTCCTGTCTAAAATAATTCTGTGTTACCTTTTGTGGTCAGTTTTACACACAAAAGTTCACAAGCTGTCGCCCACTTGAAGTAGCTCAAAATTGACTCCTTTACCATCACAATTTAAACATGGAGATGAAAAAGTTTGTTTATGTTCATCTATTAGTGAATGACAGACTTACGATAAGGAAGCAAGCACCAATCATGACAGCTTTCATTTTCACATCCAGGTCCATTGGGAATGAGATTCCAAAGTTATCTGTGTCTGTAAACACTTCCCGCACAAATCCAGTCCACTGCTTAGAAATCCTCCCAACAGCACAAGTCTCATCCAGAGACTTCACCTATAGTTTAACATCAAATTTTAAAAAGCATCATCAAACCTTCATTCATCATTCATAATACTCCCAAATCCATTTTGAAATAGATCCATTTAAAAGCATCAGACTGTTATTTTAATTACAGTTACTGAGTGCAAGGGTTTGTACCAAAAGGCAATCAGACTATAAGAGAGCTGGTCTAAAGTATTAGAGCCATGAACTTGATTCTGAATCTGACTGGGAAGCTGAATTCCTTGACGGTGCTGGGGTACCACATGCACACACACTGCTGGAAGTGGTGTCTTTTAGCCAAGGCAGTGAATTAGCTTCTCCTGCCATGCAACTGCTCAAGTGAAAATTAAACAAGTTACATTCTTCTGTTCAAAAGCAAAGATTAGCCCCTTGGCAACATTACATTTTCTAGTTAGAGCCCGTCTTCTGGGTCATGTGAAAGATTAGTTCCAAAAAAAATGATATGAATTTGCTGTAGTAACTATCTGCAACATAATTTTAAACATTAAATTGTAGCCTTGTGTATCTTTTATTTAATGTCCACAAAATCAATGTTGTATTAATCAATATTATTTCAAAAGGATAGTTGTAACTCTTCAGTCATTCAACTCTGTATTTCAGGTCTAAATTAATTTACTAGTTTATTGAATGATTATTAGATGATTAAATAATCAGGTGAAGGAAGTAATTTTAATAAGTACTTAATACCTCTATTTTTCTTAGAGCCTGACATAAGAGATTCAAAAAGATTTTGCTGCTAAGGATTTTAATTAAGTGATTTGTGTGCAGCCACAGGGAATTCTCAGTGATCACTGATGAGTGGCTTTAACACATCATTTCTGGAATTTTGTCTGGTTTATCTAGAGAAATTTAGGTATCTAAAGACGTTATTTGATTATACCAACATTAAAAGAAGATGTAGCAATTACTTAATATATACTACAGTTCAGTTGGTAGGTAGTAAATTGAGCAACAAACTAATATCAAACTACTGTCTGAAAACAGATACAGGCAAACAATTTTTACATTGCATACCTCAAAATGAATGTCCTCACAGCACCGGCACACAACACATGGGCCAGCAATTTTCAGTATATCCTTTCTTTTCTCATCCTGAATGGTGAACTTTGGCAGGTAGACATGCCAGTTCTGGACAACATAGCCAACTGTTGTTCCTGGAGGCGCCTGGACTTCCAGCTTCACAGGGAAGAGAAAACCTCCAAGTGAATGATCATGCTTCCATATGCTAGTGATACAAAAGCCACACCAGCACACAAATGAAAAACAACTATTTCTCCACAAGGATCTGGCCTTACAAAGCATTTTGCTGTGAGTGTTTTCAGAGGACCACTCAGACTGCAGACCTCTTATTCAGCTTTTGCCTCCAAGAAAACAGTAAAAGACTCCTCAGGATCCGGAGCACACAAACTATGCATCTACAATATAAAGACCCAAGCCCAGTGAAACAAAGGCAGCAAATATCCCAAAAGCATTCAGTGAAGGCATTATAGGGTGCAGTTACTACAAATGCCTCAGCAGGAGCTCTGGGTAGGCTTAGATTTAAAGTTTCAGAAGTTGCATAATTCCAGAATTACATTAATATTTAAAAAACCTCATGATCTCCCGTGTTGAGTGTCACTATAGCTTTCAGAGCTCTAAAATGAAAACTCCAGCTGTTATTTTATGAAAGCTGTTGCCTTACTCTTCCATTCCAAGTCCATCCCCAGCGCAGATTTCAGCACCAGCCACAAGTTCTCGGAAATGCCGTTCAATCAGATTTTTCATTACCACAATCAGAGTTGGCCAGTGAGCCCAAGCGTTGCAGCACACTTGCTTCTTCCCAGACCAAGAGCCCCATGCACAAATCCCACAGATCTCTTCCCACACCTTACTGGCAAACCCCGACTCATTTCACCTCACCTCCTGATTCAAGACAACCCCATCTTAAAACTGCACAGGAGGTGCCTGTCCCACGAGAAGGAAGGCAGGGAGAGGCAGCAACTCACCTCCTGCAAGCAGCAGGGGCAGCAGCAGCCGGAGCACCGCAGAGGCCTGTGCAGCGTTATCACCTCGCGGCCCAGGTTGTCCGTAATCCGGATGGTGAAGGGCCGTGACGGCCCACAGCAATTCCTGGTGAGGCAGTCAGTGTCCTCTGCTGCAAAGTACACCCTTTGTCCCAGTGCATTCTTGAGTTCGTATTTGTTGTTTGTTTCAAAGCCAGTCACAACTGAAAAATGGGGAAAAGCCTGCTAAATTCCTAGGGGTGTCTGGTCAGACACTCCCCGCTAGCTCTGCAGCTGCTCTTTGGGAAGGCAAGCCTTGCTCAAAGTCTGTCAGAGGCAGCTTCTGGCCAAGGGAAATGATAGGAAAAGAGCCTCAAGCAGAGAAGCCTGATGGAGAAGTTCAGAGGGAAGAAGCCACCATGAACAAGGACATGTGGAAAGAAACGGAGATTCCCCTCTGTCCCCAGTGTCTCCTCTGGCCACAGGCAGCAGCTGCCTGCACGAGCACCAGCAGGGAAAGCCCTCGGGGGAGAGTGCAATGGATAAGGGTTAGAGAGAGTTGTGAATTTGGGGGTGAAGCTAGAAAAGAGCACAATATGTTCAGGATAAGAAAGCCACAAAAAACCCTCTCAGTCAAGATTTCCAAACAACAAGAACCAGGACAGAAATTTTAAATAATTTCTATAAAAAATGAAAGCACTCTTAAGTTTTAGAAAAAAACAGAAAGAAAAATGCAGCAGCAACATTAGGAGTTATCTGGAATGTATGGTCCATTTTATTCCTTCTATTTGAAAGACATTGATAATGATAACTTGGGTATTAAAGCACAGAATGAGGGAAGCAGAAGGAAAGCCATTCAGTTTGCTAAAACAGCAGGATTGCCTGTAAAAGGGATCAAAGCTACATGTCAGTACATGGAATTAGGTGGGATATGACAGGACAGAAAACAAGATCTTTAAGTAAGGAAGAGAAGAGAATAGAAATCATTGTTAACAAGTAACATTGGAAATGTATGACTTCATCTGTAACTAGCTATACATCAACTATAACATCTATAACCAAGATTATTCAGTTGTATTGCTGTGTATCTTTTAAATATAGAACCTGCTGAAAATTTTCTTCCCTCCTATTTTCTCCTTTCCTCTGCTTCTTCAGGACTTCTGCAGGAATAAAGACAGGTAATACAAGACAAAGGTGGTAACCACCTTAAAAACATAGTATCAAGGAAAGCCTAAACTTTACTGTTGTTAGGATTATTAGATTTAAATACTTTGTACTTACTCTCAAGAAGTTCAAGTTGCTGATGAATTAATATCTGGTCAATCTGCTCACGGTTGAAAAATTAAACAGAATAAACAGTTAACAAGTTGCAAATATGAAAAACTGTAGTTTTAAGAACTGCAGCTGCTTCATTTTAGAATAAAAACATATGGATCAACACACGGTGTAGAGACAGATTATCTACCAGTTAAGGTATGGAAATAGCTCACTCACCTCCTTGCCCTGTCCTCTGCCACTTTAGCAGAAGAGTTTTTCACAGCACTGGAGCTGATGGGGGAGCTGAACCCAAAGTGGGCTGGTTACGAGCACACGGGGCTAACACGCCTCTGCTCTTCTCGGGACTGAGCCTGACAGAGCTCTCACATCATGTCCCAGAGACTCCATACAGACAAAAGCAGGAAATGGGGTTATTTTAGAGCAGAATCTCAGCTACTGCTCTGCTCTAAGGAAAAATCAGGGGAAAAATAGCCTCTCCTCACCAGTGCTTTTTTTCATTTTTTATTTTTAGCACTTTACAAAACTGGCAACAATACATCAGTATTAATCTTTCCAGTGCTGAGATGAGCTGTATTTTACAGTACAAAGACATATTCAGTAATGTGAAAACAACTCTTATTTTGCTATTGGTATTCTCTGTGCTGTGAAATCAGACTGGCAGCTCTACTAACAATATTAAGAGCTGTGAAGAAAGCATTGTGTAGAAAATTAAGTGCTTGTAATGTGCTAGCATTGCCCATATTATAGGTATTTATTTTATACTCCTTTCCAAAGGACATTACACCTCCCAAACAGTGACTTCAGAAATGGGAAGGCTGCATGATAGCTCTGTGTCCCTCATCCTCCAGCACCCTACTTGGCAGGAAGGTGAACAAGTGCTACATCTCCAACAGGCACCTCTGCATTCAGAAATTACAAAAGGCTTCACTTAGCAGCCCACAAGCAGCAACCCATGCAGCTGCAACATAGATGCTTTATTTAGCTATTTCATGGATGCAGGCTGCTTCCCAGAGCACAACACCTCATCTCTGGGGGAGGAAGAAGGGTGCAGGTACCTGTGTGAGGTACTCCAGTCCAGGAGGGCAGTTGGGAATAGAAGGAGGGATAGGCATCCAGATTGTCCCATCCATGGTGGGCTGGTTCTGGACAGGAGGAGCGACAAATCCACCTGGGAATCCCATGGGCTGTGCCTGGAATCCATAGTTCCCTGCACCTGTGACATTTGACATGGTAGGAGAGATACAGTTATGAAAGTTAAGTGTTGGAAAATAATTGCCCCATCCATCTTCAAAAGAGTAATTTTTTCACTATCTGGAACTGTGGAGATCCTTATGCCTTATATATTTCAGTTATGGATACAATAAATCTCATGAAGGGAGTTACACTGCTGTGGGAGGTTCTGATGTCTCACACAAAACCAAACCAAATAAATTAAAAAAATGTATCACTCTTGAATACAGAAGAAGTTTCATTCACATAGAAACAGTAAATCAAAAACCAGAAATAAATAAATGAAGGTTATTTCTAAGTAGAGAAGAAAGAATACTTTAAATTACATGGAAAGCATTGGCATTTACAGGCTGACAGTTGAGCAAATGAGGAATTTCAAGATAAAGTTTTGCTGGAACTATACCTTCTACTTTTGTGAAGAAAATGTCATTTTAGCAAAGTTCATCTACAGTTTTCAAACCAGATGATTGGTAGGCCTTCAGCCCACCCCAGCTCAGCACAAATTTCACACCACATTACAACACATGGACCAGTGCAGGTGAAGGATCAGGCTGTGGCCATGAGCAGAGCAGTACCTCAGGTGATGTAAAACTCACAGGTGGCCACATGGCCCACCCCTGAGAAGAATGCTCCCTTCGGGAATTCAAAATCACTTTTACATCTAAGGACAGGTTTTGCACACAAACTACCTACAGCTCTTGTGGGCAAGTGTGTGCACATAAAATTTCTCAAAATAACAATGTTCCTGCAACCTCCATGGCACAAGAGTGAGTGCTTGTTCCCTGCTAGCCAAGTGTACTTACGGACCCCAGAGTGCCTTGTCCCAGGATGCACAAGCTTTAACTTATGAACAGCACAGTAACTTAGACCAAACATTTTGCTTTTTACCTCTGACTTATGCTCTGAGCCTGATTGTTAGATATTTATTGTGATTTGCTTCTTCAGAAAGAAATCACTGCCAGAATGAGAGAAGCTGTTCAGGAGGGCTGCATTTTGAAGTGGAGCAGAAAATGAGACAGGAGAGAGCAAGTGAGGGAAAGTGTAAGGTATAACCACCTGCAAACAGGAAATGAATACATTCAGAACTGCAAGAGGAAAACAATTCTTTCTTCACTTCTGTATTTCTAGAGCAAAATAAAGTGAAATACTGAAGTAATATGATAATTAAAAAGTCTGATTATCAGTAAGAATCTGCTGCACATTAATTGCAATCAGTAGCACCCAGCAAAACTCCCTAGCAAATTCCCCACAATGGCCACTGAGGAACACCTGACATTTTTATCTTCTTCCACTGTTGGCACTGCTCAGCACATACTAACATGTAGAACTACAAAGGAAAGAAATGACTTTTCAGCAAAACAGAGATTAAAAGAGACTCTATAGAATAGGCAAGAGGTAAATTGGAGATGCTCACGCTTTTACAGCCCCATATTCCCCATGCTTATTTCCTAACAGTCTCACAGATCTGTAACCAAGCCACCCACCTTGGTAAGCCCCAGGGACCTGCTGAGGGGAGCCATAGGGCATTCCAGGTGCTGTGGCAGGTTGAGGTCCTGGAAGAATGGAAAATATGCTCTGAGTATGGATCATTTCCTCCTACCCTGGGTGAAAGATCCCCAGCACTGACCCCTTTTCCGGAGTGCACACAGAACAAAATCTAGGCAGCTGTTTTCTGTACAGCAAAAAATATACATCAAGGTTGTATTTATGAACAATGCATTCATCAATAAAACTCAATGGACTTCTGGTCCTTAAAGTGCAGAAAAAGACAGGCACTGCACAGGATGTCATGAAGATGTCGCAGGATCACAGAATCCTTTAGTTTGGAAGGAACCTCCTGAGATCATCTAGTCCAAGCCCTGCTCAAGCAGGGTCAGTTCACTCTGTCTGGAGAAAAGATGTCTTTGTTCATTGATATTTAGAAAGAGGCTTGAATTCAAAGCATTACCAGGAACTGACAGGCTGTCCTCGAGTACAGAACATGGCAGTGAGCCATTCCCCTCCGTGTAAAACCTTTTCTCTCAATTCCTTCAAGTTCAGACTATACTAATGCCTCACCAGCAGATGGAGAGGGTTATGGATTTAAAAATATTTACCAGCTTCAGTTTTTAAGCAGAAATAACTTGAATTTCAAGATTACTAAATTATTTATTATTTTTACTTAACTTCAGAAATCAAGATCTGAAAATGTAGGCTCTACATTTTTTAAAATATTTCATTTTAAAATGTAAATAATTTCAGATTAAAACATTCATACGTATTTCATATAATTCTAAGGTAAGCAAATATTGCTTGAATGTGCTGTCTTTGATGTTAGCAGAAGTTGGTATTTTGGTTATATTTTACTCACCTTGCATTGCTGTAGATCTGCTTGTAGTCGTTCTGCAAAAGAACAGTTTTGTCTCATGATTTTTTAAATGTATAATTTCACACAAGAGCTATTCAGAGTTCTCTATTACTGGAAAAAGATATTTGCCTCTCTAAACTGTATGGGAAAGTGAAACTACAGTTACAAGCAAAAATAAATTGAAATATCTCAGCTTTCTTCTAGGATATGTCTCAACTACTGCATAAGTCTGAGTTTTCTATGACTACAGCCATGCTTTGAGTATCCTGAAATCAACCTCAGCTCAGAAAAGCATTGGGGTGTTAAGCTCCACTGTGCAGCCATTCAGAAACATCCTGTACTTCACATGAACAATTTACTGCAGTGATTTAAGGGGAACTGGTTCAGTGTATTGATGTTGACCACAAAACCTGCTCAGGTAAACCCTGGAGCAGCCACGTTACCACCTACTCAGTTTTTTAAGCTATTCCATTTCTCTAGTGGTACTAATAAATATCACATATCCAGTATTTGCCTTCACAGGATAACAAATCATGGTTGCCAAGGAGGAAAAGAAACCAAAAACCAACCAAACAACACAGCCCACATTAAAAAAAAAAAAAAAAAGAAAAAAAAAATCCCAAGAAAACTAACCCAAAACAAAACAAACGAAAACCACACACATAAAAAAACAAAACAAAACCCAAAACACCCCAAAAAAAAACCCACTTACTGATACCAGCTGAAACCTTGAGAGTTATTTCTTTCTCTGGGGTAATGAGTGAAGCAAGACAACAGCAGCAACTGCTATTAGAGACAGATCCAAAACAGTCAGGAGATCCAAAAGTGGGAGTGTAAACAAAATGGTACAGGCACTCCTTTTTAATAGATTTGAAAGCTTTAAAATAAAAAAAATAAACATAGTTGTTCCTTAAAAATAATCCAGTTCAAGTTAAACCATGAATATAATTTGTCTGTTATGATTCTTCTAACTGCTTCCTTTCAGTGAAGATTGCTGTTTAAAGCTGGGAAGTGAAACTGAAAGCAATTCCTTCCTGTTTTCCACTCCCCGAGTAAAAGCAGATCTCACAGGGTGATATCTAATGCTTCTGCAATGTCCTGGAACTCTCCAAATCCTACAGAACATCCTATTTCAGAGCAGCTGATTTAGTTGCTCTTAAAACATTCCTTTTTTAATATACTTTTCCTTCTACTTTACTGACTCTTCTTTACTAAGAAAACCACTGTCCTGTTTCACATACTTTAATTGGGTTCTGGTCATAGGGTAGATTGAAATGTAGTCACCGTATGAATGTAGGAATATCACAAATTATAGAAGAATAAAACTAGGAAAAAGTCAGTTTATACTGTGAGATGTTCCAGCTACATGAACTTCAGTGAAATACTGAGAATTATATCTAAATCCGTTGGTAAAGGGAGAGTAGAGACAGAATCACAAGATTTATTTAAAAGAAAGACTTTGTAGTCATCCAGAATCTTTCATTGTCCTTACCACACCACGCATAGTCACACCCACAAAGCCATTATACAATCTAGGATTTAGAAAAGGTTGATATGCTCTCTAGGAGAAAGTAATAAAGGTTTTACAAAACTCAGCTCTCATATCATCCCTAGATAGTTCCTTCTATATGAATATCTGTGCTTGTTTTCAGTTTCTGATTTTCAGAACTACATAACACAGCTACATGTCCCTTAGCCTGACTCATGTCACTAGATATGCTGCAAGTAACTCAGACATGTCTGAATTACATTAACTATAGGACTTCTGCTTCTTATCAGAAAAACAATACTAGCATGACAAGTACTTTCATTTCTTATCCAGCTCACTAAAATGCTGCAAAGAGCATGTTAATGTAAACTCCCAAGCACAAACATGCTTAGTACTATATAAATAACAAGCCAGGCCCTTTCCAAGGTTTCCAAGAATTTGTAATATGCAAAACACAGGAAGCCAAATAGCCAGGAGGCATGCATTAGTTCAGTTCACCTTTTGTGGCTTTCTTTTTTTTTTTTTTTTTTTTTATGTTACATTAGATTAGACTGTTCAGCCCCTGGATTTTAACCTTCACCACTGGAGAAACTATGCTTCAAAATCATCTAGTCAATCTAATGAAACGAGTTATTTTTGCCCGGTGTTAACAAAATATTATTCAGAGAAGAAATTAATTTCTTTTTGGTTCTGATGCAGTAGGGCATCTCTCTCCCCTTACCCTGGCTTTTCTCCTGAGACCCGGGAGTGCCAATTCCTGGCAGTGCCAGCCCCGGGCAGTGCCAGCCCCTGGCGGAGGCAGGCGGGTCACAGCGGGCTCAGCCTCGCAGGAGCGAGGGCACATCCTCGCCAATGCCGCTGGGGCCAGGACCGAGCTGCTGCTGCCGCTGCCTCCCCCGGAGCTGTGCTGCCACAGCCGGGCAGCAGCAGCAGCTCTGTCCATGCAGCCTCTGCCAGCGGGTCACTCCTCTACAGGCACAGATTCCAACCTGAGCCGCGCTCACCAGCCCCGAAACCCGCGGCTTCTGCCCGTGCCGCAGCCCTGCTGCTCATCCCCGAGGGGACATCCCCGGGACACCTGGCAGGAGCTCCTGGAAGGAATCCCCGTCGGGAGGGAAGCTCCGAGCCCCGGCCAGCACAACGTACCGCTCCCGAGCTCCGCTGGCCCGATGTCCCTCTGTGTCCCGGTGTGCCGGTGTCCCGGTGTTTCTATGGCACTGTGTCCCGCTGTCCCGATATCCCAGTGTCCCGATGTCCCTCTGTGTCCCGGTGTGCCGGTGTCCCGGTGTTTCTATGGCACTGTGTCCCGCTGTCCCGATATCCCAGTGTCCCGATGTCCCTCTGTGTCCCGGTGTGCCGGTGTCCCGGTGTTTCTATGGCACTGTGTCCCGCTGTCCCGATATCCCAGTGTCCCGATGTCCCTCTGTGTCCCGGTGTCCCGTCCGGTGCCGTTTGGGATCTCCCAGCGCTGCGGGGCGGGGAGCGAGGGCAGGGCCAGGCTGCGGGCAGGAAATTGCTGCCAGCCCTGCCGAGAAACGCCGACATTTCTACAGCTTTCCTCTTCGGCACATTTCATTTTTCCATTTCTAGCAGCATCAGTGCCGATTCAGCCCTTTTAAAATTAATTATTTAACCTAATTCTGCCTTTTAGCCAGAGGACATCAGTTTACATACGAGTGATAACTCCAAGCGCTACGTCCACCCTGAAAGGAGAACAAATGTGTTTGGAACAATTTTACCTTGCTTATAAGGCAGGACCTCAGGAGGTAAATATAATTATGTGGACTTCATAGTTACAGGAACAGGAATGTACAATACTGAATTGTTTAGGAAGCAAAGGACTTGGAGTAAATTGGCTCACACCCTGATTAGCAGCTCTGGTGAACAGGTTTTCCACATCAATTTTTGTATATTCATGTATGTCAGGTAGGGGCTGCTGGTGTCCATGTATTCAGAGGAAACTTTATTTCCTCTAAACTACACAAATATGATCACAGCAATTAGTCTTTGTCTTCTACCTCCCAGAATAAAGTGTCCATTTCAATATGAATTTTCCATAAACAAAACCAAATCAAACCTCCCCCCCACCCCCCAAACTATTATTCTAGCCCTGCACTGGATTTCACCTGAACACCAGATTTCACAGGGATTTGGGGATTTTATTTTGCTTGTTTCCTCAGGTACAGAAGAATCTAAAGCTGACTAACATATTCCCACACACCTGCACTAAGTCCACTAAGAGGATTAATAGCAGACACCAAGAAATGGGTATAGAATTATTTTGACATGGTTTGGAAATTAGAAATACATCATAGCTTTTAATACTGTCCTTCTTTTTTACAGGAACATAGCATAGTTATATTTAGCTTGGTTCAGACTTCTACTCTGAAATTCAAATTTTATTGCTGAGCAAACATGACTTTTTGACATAGAGAGGAATGTTATTTCTTAGAGGAGAATATCATTGTCCTATCAGAGAGAACACAGATAGCAGCAAATCTCTTCCTTTCACGTGTCTATAAGCAGTAAAAAAATCTATTCACCTGTAGTGGCAGAAAAAATATGCCATGACTCACAAAATACAAAGTAGTTTATCAGTCTTTCCCATATCAAATAATGTTCCAGTTTTTTTCCTTATCTAGCTAGGATAATTGATGTTGTAACTGACATTCAGTGCTTTTCTATTAGATCAGGGGGTTGAAACAGTCAGTACCTTTTTAATTTTGTCCAGTGAGCAGATTTAATCATCAGGGGAATGCCTAAAACTTTAAGAAAAGAAGCTGGGATGGTATGAAGAGAAATAAGAAAATGACCATGCTCCTAGTAATTTAGTCTTTTTGGTTTGAGCATGTTTACCTGAAAAGAAACATTATTTGTAGATTCTTGATCCTGATTTCTAGGATTTCTGTGTTGCTTATGGTCTGGATATTCAGAACATTACTTTCTACTGTTTTAACTTCTGCTGCTCTTGATGTTGGCTCCTCATCTGATCCTCTGGTGGATCCATCTGGTGCCCAACAGCAGAAGTGGGACCAGCTCCTCCACCCACTTCTCATGCAGAGGTCTCCAGTGAGCTAGAGCTGAGTTGATGAAAGCAGCTCTCATCCTCCTTGCCAACATCCCCTCAGCAGCCCCCTTTCCCTCAGTGCTCAGGCAGGACATCCGCGTGAAGGGACATGGGAGAAGTTTGCTCAGGGCTGTACCTGGGAGCAAACAGCCTTTGTGCAGCTCAAACTCTGCTTAAGCACATTTAGCCTCAGGCATGGCATGGTTTGCACTGCTAGAGGAAATAAAAGTGTTTACTAGGGGGTTTGACTTCTGTGCCTGAGGACACAATCCCACAGAAAACTCCCTTCTCCAGTGTTTGTAATCTGGAAAGCAAACCTGGAACAGCAAGCAGACATAGGAGATGAAGAGAAAAATAAGCTGAGAGTGGTTGTTGTCTTTATAGAAAAGACAAAGGATGTGAGGTTTGAGACACAAACTTGAGGGAGCTACCAGGAAATAAATTAAAAAAAGAACAAAAGAAGAAGAAGGGACAGAGGAGAAAGAAAGAAAGAAGGAAGAAAGAAAAAGAAGTTTCCTCTCAATGGCAGGCTAGGAAAAGCTCCTGAGCTGCACTGGCTAGAGCACCAGCCATGGGGTACAATTTTTTTTCTGCTGTTTTCCATCCTTCACTTGTGCACGTTTTGGAAAACCTTTAATTGCAACAAATTATGTTTAAGTCTTGTGAATTCCTTTAGCTTACAGTGCTTAGGCCTGTATTCATGTGTGGAAGTAGTTATCCTAGCCTTAAAAACTGTAGGAGTCAGCAATGCTGTTGGAAGGTGATTTAAATATGTAGAAGAATTGGCAGGAATGTTTAACATGTATTTATGAGTTTGGGGAAATGTAATGAGTCTGAATTAGTTACACAGATTTAAACTCATCTGTTCTCTAGCTGCAGTGTAGGGGTTAGGCAGAGAGATCCCCCTCATGCCCTGTACTGAAAATGAAAGGCACTTTCTGACACTGAAATTACAACATTAGTTTTATTCCAAACTTTTGATGACAAAGTGATAATGACCTGATACAATTTTCACAATATTTAGAACTTACTTAGAAAGTTTAGATTTTAAACTCCATCCAACCTAATTATTCGCATTTTCTCCAGAATCAGTAATTTTCCTTTTTTCCATTTATACTATACATTACATCCAAACTAGTAGTGGTTTTGAAAGCAGATAGGCAAATAATGTAATGTTCCAATAGGCAATATCTACACTTTAATACAATGTGATGAGTCTAGAATGAGCCACCACCAGTAGGACAGACATGACAAACATGATAAAAGGTAATTTAAATCCAAGCATTTTGAAAAACAGATAAATTGCTAGTCTTAGTATTACTATTACTATTGCTGTTAGTATTTCTTTGATGTGGAACTGGGGAAATTGCTTCCATCCTGCTAACCTTTGACAGGCATCTGACATCCCCTGAATCTCAGTGTAGCTCTCTTTTTGTTCTGGTAGTTAGGCTTTCACTGATTTAATAAAACATGCATTCATGAAGCCAGAAGAAGCAGCTAACACATCATCTCTGTATTAAAGATTTGTAATTGTGCAATTGTAAGCAGGCCTGTTCACATATTTGATTTCATTTAACAATGTCAAGTCAGTCATCAAGCCTGCAGTCTAACAAATGAGGGTTAGGTTTTCCTCTGAGAGGGAAACGGTGAAAATGGGTTTAGTGCTGTAATGTCTTAGTTAAGTCAGCATCCAGATAACATCAGTGGACAGTTATGAGTTCCAAACCACATAGAGTAACATTTCTTATATTTTTATGTATCCTGAGGAGCAACAAGTCCCCCTGGGCTGTCACTAACAATTGTAATAATCACTCACAGAGGAAAAGCAATTCCCGCAGAGAGCTGTCAGCCATCACCATCAGCCCTTCCTCAAAGTACTCAAACACATGGAGAAAACAGCAACTGAACAACAATGGAAGCAATACCACACATTTGGTTTTGCTACTAAATGTTTTTGTGCCACAGCAATTTCTTTCTCAGACCGAGAAGAAAGCTAAATAAAGTTTTACTGCTGCCACTCATGCAAGGTTTTGAATGCCAGCACTGTAGATGAACCAGCATAAGCTGCTTGCAGTCAGAAAACAGGATATTGGGAGGAAAAGAACAACTTGACATAAAGAAATAGGCCATTACAGTTTACAGCATTCAGGATTAACTGTGGTACCAACAGCTTAAAATGCAGCTTGTGTAAATCCTGTTTTCTGCTAAAGGGATATTACTACTGCAAACAGATACTTACAGGGAACATTTTTCTAGGACATGATTTTGTTCCTAAAAAGTATAAATAATACCAGCCTAATTAGTGAAATACACCAAAAAAACAAGTCAGGACAATCTCATCCTGGGCAGACATCCAGCTTTGTATGTCAAAGCTGGCACTCTGAACTCCCAGGCTGCTCAGTTATCTGTGTTTGTGGTTTGGGGAGAAGGAGGGCTTTGAAGGTTTTTGCAAAGCCAAGTTCTTTCGTTTAAGCACTGTTGCAGGAGACACTGAATCATATAGCAGCAGTGACGTGTTAATGGCCCTTGAACTCTCCCTCCCTCCCTGCAATGCCTTTTCTCACAAGCACATGCCATGTGTGGGTGGGATTCACCCATCAAACTGCTCTAGAGCCAGCATTGTTGCACCGCTGTGGAACTGGAATCATATAAAGCAGCTTTGTCAGGACACCACGGGCTTTGGGTTGACATTCCCCTTTGAAAATGTACATAAAACAAGGATGCCTGGAAGCAGCAGCTCTTTGCCTTGGTGCACAGGGTATCTCTGCCTCGAGGGCAGGAGTCCCCTCTGCTCCCTTTGCCCATCCTCTGGAGCCCCTGCTCACCAGTCACACGTCTCTGAGCACAGCAAAGAATGCAATGCAGCTGCCAGGCCCACGTCTGCTTTCATTTATAGCATTGTAATCTTTTAGACACTAGCACTGCGTTTGAATTCAGCATTGTGAGGGAATAATGCCTTTTAACCTTACACTCTTGATTAGACACCCCTGGCTTGTTCAGGAGCTGCTGATAAAGGAGAAGCTGGGTTTGATTGTGCTGTGATATACACTGGCACTTCTATCAACATGAGGACAAATGGAGCAATGCTGATACACAGAACCAGGCTGAGGGGAAGATGTTATTAAAGCCAATGAAGTCCAAGTTAATGTGTTTCATAACAGACTCCTCCGATAAAAATGTACTGGGACCTTGAGGCTCCCATTAATTAAGAAGATAATTAAAAAGTTGTAAATGTAGAAGGACCACTAGATTTGCAAGAGTTTATGAGCTGAATTTACAGCTCAATTAAGAGTGAAAATTGAGGAAGCCTGGCACCAGGCACTGCTTCTTGCACAGACAGCTGGGGAATCTGGGGAGGTTTAGAAGCTGGAGAGGAGAAACCACAGGAAA